CTTTTTTGACTTGAATTTTTCAATTCACCAGTTTTTCATTTTTTTCCATTTACAATTTTTCAATTTTTTTATTTCTTCAAATTCCAGATTATTTTCAAGTTCCAATTTTTTTATTTAAAATTTCTCGAGTTTTCAGTTTTTAATTTCTCAGTTTTTCGTTTCGGTTTTTCATTTTCTTTATTTTGACAATTTTTCGATTTGTCAATGTTGGATTTTACAATTTTTTGTGTTTTAAATTCCAATTTTTTCTTTTTTTTTTGTTTCTTAGGGTTTTTCATTTTCTCAACTTTAACATTTTTCAATTAGATTTTGCGATTTTTCGATTTGAGTTAATACTCAAGTTTTCAGTTTATTATTTTGCAATTTTTCGTTTCGATTTTTATTTTTTTTCCAATTTTTCCATTTTTCGAATTTAAAATTTCTTTTCTTCAATTATTCCGTTCACAATTTTTCAATTTTTTATTATTTTTTGTTTCTTCAAGTTCCAGATTGTTGCAATTTTTCGATTTAAAATTTTTCGAGTTTTCAATTTTTAATTTTTTAATTTTTCAGTTCTCCAATTTTTCATTTCTTCAAACTTTTAATTTGCAATTTTTCGTTTCAGTTTTTCATTTTCTTTATTTTTACAATTTTTTGATTTTTCAATGTTCGGATTTTATAATTTTTTGTTTTTTCAAATTCCAATTTTTCATTCTTCAATTTTTTGATTTGTAATTTTTCAATTTTCCATTATTGCCCGCAGTTTTTTTGACTTGAATTTTTCAATTCTTCGGTTTTTCAATTTTTTTTGCTTCTTCCGGTTTTTCAATGTTTCAACTTTTGAATTTTTCAATTAGATTTCGCGATTTTTCGATTTGAGCTACTCAAGTTTCCAGTTTTTAATTTTGCAGTTTTTCGTTTCGGTTTTTATTTTCTTTATTTTTCCAATTATTCATTTTTCGAATTGAAATTTTTTGTTTTCGCAATTTAAATTTCTTCAGATTTTCGTTTCTTCAATTTTTCTATTTACAATTTATGAATTTTTCATTTTCTTATTTCTTCAATTTGCAGATTATTGCAATTTTTCGATTTAAAATTACTCGAGTTTTCAGTTTTTAATATTTCGATTCTTCAATTTTTCATTTCTTCAAATTTCGAATTTGCAATTTTTTGTTTCGGATTTCATTTTCTTTATTTTGACAATTTTTCGATTTTTCAGTGTTCGGATTTTATAATTTTTTGTTTTTTCAAATTCCAATTTTTTCATTCTTCAATTTTTTGATTTGTAATTTTTCATTGTTTCCCGCAGCTTTTTTGACTTGAGTTTTTCAATTCTTCAGTTTTTCATTTTTTTTTGTTTCTTACGCTTTTCCAATTTTTCAACTTTTGAATTTTTCAGTTAGATTTTGCAATTTTTCGATTTAAGCTACTCAAGTTTCCAGTTTTTAATTTTGCAGTTTTTCGTTTCGGTTTTTATTTTCTTTATTTTTCCAATTATTTGATTTTTCGAATTGAAATTTTTTGTTTTCATAATTTAAATTTTTCAGTTTTTTGTTTCTTCAACTTTTCCATTTACAATTTTTCAATTTTTCATTTTTTTGTTTCTTCAATTTTTAGATTACTGCAATTTTTCGATTTAAAATTTCTCGAGTTTTCAGTTTTTAATATTCAATTTTTCGATTGTTTAATTTTTCAGTTCTTAAAATTTTTAATTTGCAGTTTATCGTTTGGGTTTCTCATTTTCTTTTACAATTTTTCAATCTTCTAATGTTCCGATTTTACACGTTTGTGTTTTTTCAAACTCCAATTTTTTCGTTTCGTCAATTTTTTTGATTTGTACATTTTTTCAGTTTTTCATATTTTTGTTTCTTCAATTTTACGATATGTAACTATTCCAGTTCTCATTTTTACATTTTTACATTTTTCAATGTTCCAATTTATAATTTTTTTGTTTTTCCAAATTTCAATGTTTTCGGTTTTTGGTTTCGTCAATTTTTTTATTTGTAATTTTTCAATTTTTCACTTTTTTTGTTTCTTCAGTTGTACGATATGTAAGTAACTCTTCCAGTTCTCGAACTTTTAAATTTTTCAAATTTTCATGTTTCGACTTGCAATTTCACGTTTTGAATTTTAATATTTCAATGTTTCGGTTTTTCAATGATCTGATTTTATAATTTTTCTTTTTTCAATGTCAAAATTATCAATTTTTGGATTTTCAAATTTTCGATTTGCAAATTTTCGTTTCAGTTTTTCGTTTTCTTTATTTTTACAATTTTTCGATTTTTCGATGTTTCGATTTTATAATTTTTTGTTTTTTCAAATTCCAATTATTTCAAATTTTCATTTTTTTGTTTCTTCGATTTTCCAACTTTTGAATGTTACAGTTTTTAGATTTTGCAATTTTTCCATTTGCAATTTCACGTTTTGATTTTATAATTTTCTTTTTTCAAGGTGAAATTTTTCAATTTTTGGAATTTAAAAAATTTTCGATTTGCAATTTTTTGTTTCAGTTTTTCGTTTTCTTTATTTTTACAATTTTTCCATGTTTCCTTTTCCATGTTCTGATTTTATAATTTTTTGTTTTTTCAAATTCCAATTTTTTCACTTTTTCGTTTCTTTAATTTTTTAATATGTAATTTTTTTATTTTTTATTTTTTTATTTCTTCAGTTCTACAATATGTAACACTTGCAGTTCTCATTTTTCAATTTTTCAATTTTCCAACTTTTGAATGTTTCAGTTTTTAGATTTTGCAATTTTTCGCTTTGCAATTCTTCTGCTTTCAATTTTTCAATGTTTCACTTCTAGATTTTTTAATTTTGCGTTTTTTTTTTCGTTTCTTCAACTTTTCATTTATCAATTTTAGGATTTTTAAGTTTTCTTTTCCTTGGTATTTGATTTTTCAGTTTATCGATCTTTCAATGTTACAGTTTTTCGACTTTACCGATTTTACAATTTTTCGCCATCTGGTTTTTTCTTTTTTCCTATTTTTAAGTTCATTCATTTTTTCGATTTTTAAGTTTTCCCATTTTCAGTTTTTCAGTGTTGCAATTTTTCGATTTTTCAATTTTTTCGATTTTTGAGTTTTTCGTTTTTTAATTTTTCGATTTTCCAGTTTTCCGATTTTTCACTTCCAAATTAAAAAACGAAAAAATTGCAAAACTGTAAAATTAAAAAAGAAAAATCAAAATTGATTATCAAAAATTTGAAAAATTGAATAAATGAAAAATTCAAACTCGAAAGAATAAGATCTGGCTTAGAGAATTAAAATATTCTATAAACTTAAAAATCAAAAAAGTTCAAAATTCAAAAACTCAAAAATCGCGGAATTGAAAATTCATTGTTTGAATGAAAATTTGAAAAATTGAATAAACGAAAAATTATAAAATCGAAAGAAATATTGAACAATAGTGGAAATGAAAAAACGAAAAACTGTGGTATAAAATCCAGAAAATGAAAATTAAAAATTCAGGAAAATAAAAAATAATAATGAATAACTTGAAAAATTGAGAAAACGAAAAATTGAAAAACCGAAAAATGAATAATTGTATTATCGAAAAATTGCAAATGGAGAAAATGATGAAAACAAAAACTGAAAAATTGAGAGTGAGAAATTTAAGAAATGAAAGTAGAAAAAAGAAAAATTTTGGAGATGATATCGTCCTATTGGTGGTGGTAGAGATATTTAGCCAAATTGTGGTTAGCATTTTATCATCTGCAAAATATAATATACATACAAAATTTGGCAATAATAATAGTTTCGGAGATTTTTACAGACGACAAAGAGACAGGAAGACGCAAGCGGGAGATCAGTTTTTCGTACTCTGGAGGTCATGATACGTCGAGAAAACATGAACGTGGCAATTCACCCGATGGATTCGATTATTATACTTCCTTAGCTTACATTCTGGACGAAAAAATGAAGTGAAGTAAATTATCAAAATCCATGATGTACACACAAAATACTCCTGAAATGGATACAAGGTTACAAATTATTATTATTATTATATAATATTATTATTATTTTTATTAGGACCCACCACTGACCCGGAAATGACCGGCATTCAGGCAAGACTTCTACCAGTACGGGTACTAAAACCAAGTTATTATTATTATTTGTTAGATAAAACTGGCATAATGTAGACTGTTGACCTCATAACGTAACTAAATTATCACTTTACATGCGCATTTTGCGTCACTTCCAACCTCTGAGCAACCCTTATTTTTTTCCTATTATTTACATCACGGGAATAAGAATCCACAATTTCAAGTTCACTAACAGAAATAAACACTTTTTTAAACATATTGGATTGTAGATGACACAAAAACCAGCCCCGCCAAACCTCCCTAAATCTCTCTTTTTACCAACAATACCCCCGAATTGGTCATCCATCACACGTTTCCAGATTTTGCGAAATTAAATTTATTGTTCCCATCTCCGAAAAGTCTCGATTGCGTCGTTCGATCATCCGCCGTGATCGTCGAACAAAGGCGGCCCCACCAACCCAAAAACCAAGAATCAAACCATCCCTTAATCAACCCTCTATCAAAATAAATTCTTTGTCACAAAATTTACAAAAATATCCACCGTTCGCACTTCCCTCATCAACGTCCGTGCGTCCAGCGTCAGCCTAGTCCGACCCTATGAGCTGGAAACGCGTCCTGAAGGACTCCTTCGAGTGGTCTTTTCTCCCAAATCGCTTCCCACAATGCGTACAGGGAAAAGGATAAATCCGCTGTGTATCCAATTCGGCGTTCCTTGTGAGGGTTTTATCGCGTCCTTATCACCACAGGGAATGGAGGCTCGAGAAAACAAAAATCATATTAAGGCGGGTTTTTAGTGTAGAATAGAAAACAAAGAGCCATCTTGTTTGACGCTGCAGCCGGAAGAACACAAAAGTGCAAGTTTTCCGAGGAGAAGATGATAATAATAATAATAAAATAAATTTTAATCAAATCGTCTTTATTAAAATAAACTCTCTATCACAAAATATACAAAAATATACACTATTCACATCACAGTCGTCCTTCAGAACCCATACATGGGCGGCACGTAGGGGTACGTCGCCCATGCGTCCAGCGGCAGCATCACCGGCACAGCGTACACCCCTCTGGGCTGGAAGTGCGTCCTGGAATGCTTCTTCAGGTGGTCCTTCCTGCCGAAGCGCTTCCCGCAGTGGGCGCAAGGAAACGGACGAAGTCCGCTGTGTATCCTTTTGTGTCGGGTCAGTTCCTCGTTCCTCGTGAAGGTTTTGCCGCAGTCCTTCTCGTCGCACTTGAAGGGACGCTCGCCTAAACAAAAAATTCCTATTAAGTCGGCTTTTAGCAGGATCAACGGACTAACCTGTGTGTATCCTGATATGTCCTTTCAGCTGGCCGTTATTCGAGAAGCCCACGTCGCAGTGCGGACATTTGTATTTTTTGGGGCGCTGCTTGCGGGAGTTGAGGATTTTCACCTGGTGCTCTTGGTTGAGCACGCGAGCGTACTCCTCGAGGGCGTAGCCGCTGGCGAGCGTCTCCAGGAGAGAAGGGTCGGGGAACGGGGGGAGGAAGTAGCTGGGGTCCACGGGGCGGAAGCCGGGCTTCTCTGGAGGGAGGGGCGTGGATGGGCGGGCGGAGTCTGGTTGGTAGCTGTCCCATGGTCTAGAAGCAACAACTTCTGTTAATTTTTGGATAGGCAATGTAAAATATATTTAAAGCAAATAACCAATGGGAAAAATGGCCTCTCAGCAAGAATAACAAGCTTCAACTTCTAGTGTTTGTTTATACATCGGAAAATTGTCACGTATAAATTTTTTTGATTTGAATGAGTTTGTCGTCTCAAAGCAGAGGACTAAAATTATTAATTAAGAAAAAAGAAACGGGCAAGTTATACTGTGTTAATTTTTTTGTGCACATTTGTCCGTTTAGATAAGAAACTTAAAGCGAGTTCATACACTACAAGTATAGGAGTAATTATTGTATAACATTTAAATCATTTTAAAATAGAATTCTATGAAATGACGTAATCAAATTGTTGGTGAGGATGATTAACAAAATTTTGGTTGGCGTTTTAACATCTACATGACATTTCTAATACATATACAAAATTTGACCGCAATCGGTCTAGTAGTTTTGGAGATTAACTGTCTAATAAAAATCGAAATAGACGCCAGACAGACTAGGGGTAATAAAGAGTCAAGAAAACATAAAAATAGCCATTCGTCCGATTGACTAAGAAGCTTAGCTTCAGGAAGTAAACATTATGTTGGCAACACTACCGCATTCCTTGTTTAGTTTGAGAGTACCGTCAAATAACTGACAAATAAACTGTCAAATAATAATGTGTAATCCCAACATCATTAGTTTAAAAATAAATTTAATAAACTATGTAAGAGATCATACAGGGTGAGTCACTAAGCGCGCGGTCCTCAATAGCTTATTAATTATTAAAGACAAAAAAAAATCAAAAACCAAAACTGTACGGTTGTTTGAGGAGTATACTCTAAAATTATCTTTATACATAGTGTTCGGTTTTAAAGGCACTTTGCTTTTTTAAATGACACATTCCACATATTTTTACATACTTTTATTAGCCTCTCCCAAGGCTTAATCAGCACAATTTATTTTTGAAATTCATATTCGTCGTTGTCATGTTATTCCAAATTTCTTGAAATTTTTGGACAATGGAAAAGTTCACACAAAATATCCCAACAGGGTTATTTTAAAATCTGTGTTATAATATGCTGTAGAGGCATAAATTAAGGTAGGCGCTTTGTTGTCAGATTTTAATATACAAGGTGTTTATAAAAAATTCTAAACCTTCACAATTTTCAGATATCGATATTTCAGTTTTTTCAAATAGAACACACTCTAATCTACTACTGCATATTACTCATTTTTTTCCTCAATCTTCAAATACGGTGTGTCTCTTAAAACAGTAAAAAAATCATACTATCAACTTTAAACATGGAAAATACTTTTTCCATTTGAAAATATTTCTTTTTTTCTTGTTGAGATTTTTGGATGTTTACAATTTACACTTGTTTTTTTAATTTTTTTTTTGTTTTTGATTTTTCAATTTCTCCATTTTAAAATTGCAGTTGTTTGCTTCTCGATTTTTTATATTTGTTTTTTTTTTCAGTATTTCAATTTTTGCGATTTTTGGATTATTCCTGTTAGCCATTTTTTATTTAACAAATTTTCTTTTTTCAATCATATGTATTTATTTATGTTTTCATTTTATAAATGTTTGTTTTTTATTCGATTTTTTGATTTTTCAATTTCCCATTTTAAATTTTTTCGTTTTCTCAATTTTACAATTTTCAATTTTCCATTTTTCCGATTGTTTAATTTTTTAATTTTCTCGTTTTTTCAATTGTACAATTTTTCAATTTTAGATTTTGTATTTCCGATTTTTATGTCTCGAATATTCCTATTTTTGTTTTCAGTTTTAAAATTTTTCAAATTTATAACTTTTTAACAATATTTCTCTCTCCAGTTGAGATTTTTGGATTGCATTTTACAAATTTTTGTTTTCTTTATTTTTTTTGTTTTTGATTTTTCACTTTCTCTATGTTTCAACTTGTAGATTTTTCAATTTTGGAATGTTTTAATTTGATTTCTCACTTATCCAAAATTTCTTTGTTCAATTTTTTATTTTTCAATTTATCGGATTTTTAATTTTTGAGTTCAAGGTTTCGATTTTTCAGTTTTTAGAATTCCCTTTCTTGCGATTTTCATTTTTCGATTTGTGATTTTTAGATTTTTAAATTTTTCCGATTTTTGAATTATCCTTGTTTCCCATTTTCCAATTTTACAATTTTTCGATTTTATAATTTTTATCGATGTTACAAATTTTGGATCTTTCGGTTTAAAAAATTTTCAGATTTACAACTTTTCTGTTTGACAATATTTCTTTTTTCTTATTGAGATTTTTGGATGTTTACATTTTACAACACTTGTTTTTTTATTTTTTCGATTTTGTTTTTGATTTTTCAATTTCTCTATTTTAAAATTTTTATTTTTTTCTAGTTTAAAATTCTTTAACTTGATTTCTCAGTTATCCAAATTTTCTTTTTTGATCTTTAATTTTTCAAATTTTCAGTTTTTTGATTTACCGGTTTTTGAATTTTTCGAATTCAATTTTTAGATTATCAATTTTCTGATTTTTCAATTTTGCAATTGTTTGTTTCTCGATGTTTATGTTTATATTTTTCAGTATTTCAATTTTTCGATTTAACAAATTTTCTTTTTTCAATTATGTATATATATGTATTTTGCAAGGTTTTCACTATACAAATTTTCGTTTTTTTTTTTCGAAATTTTTTCTTTTTTAATTTTCCAATTTAAAATTTTTAGGTTTCTCAATTTTACAATTTTTTAATAAGATGCTCAGCAATCCTATTTTTCAATTTTCCAATTTTTTGTTTCTTCAAATTTTAAATTTCTCGGCTTTTCATTGGTACAATTTTTCAAGTTTAAATTCTAAAATTTTTTTTCTTTTTTTTGTTTTTGATTTTTCACGTTCCCTATTTTTAAATTTTTACATTTTTCAATTTTAGAATATTTTAATTTGATTTCTCAATTATCCGAAATTTCAATGTTCGATTTTTTTTTTCAAATTTTCGACTTTCAATTTTTACAATTTTCAATTTTGCGATTTTCGTTTCGCGATTTGTAATTTTTAGTTTTTTCAATTTTTCCGATTTATCCTTGTTTACCAATTTTCAGATTTTTCATTTTAATTTTGCAACTGTTGGATTTTCCAATTTTACAATTTTTCAATTTTACAATTTTTGCCAATATATTACAAATTTTGAGTTTTTTCCTTTAATTTTGCAATTAAAATTTTTCGATTTTACAATTTTCGATTTTACAATTTTTCGATTTTACAATCTGACAATTTTACAATTTTGCTTTTAGAATAGAATAGAACAGAATAAAATAGTTTATTGGTCATCCAACTGAGACTTTTTAATGTTTCTATTCTCCAAATTTCCGTTTTTTTCTTTTTCTAATTTTTTTTCAATTTTTCAACTTATCGTTTTATGTAATTTTCAACTTCGATTTTTGGTTTTTAGTTTTTCAAATTGTCCAAGTTTTCATAGGTAATCTTAATTTTTTATTTTTTATTTTTTATTTTTTCAATAAAATGAACAAAATTATTTAAACTGGAATTTTGAAAAATTATAAACTAGGAAATTTTGCATTATTTTCTCTGATGCTTATATCAGATGTACAAATAAAAAAATTAAAAATCAAGCAGCGGTCGAAATCGAAAAAAAAAATCTAAAAATTGAAAATTTGAAACTCAAAATCAGTTTGAAGCTGACGCCAAGGTCGTCATGGGTACGGAAATTTACGTATATTGCGTAAAAAAAAGAGAACAAAAAATAGAATAAGATGCAGTAATAAAATATAGGGTACTCTGCATTAGAGGAGTTTTATTAAAAAAAATTAAGTTGTGTGTTACGCCTTAATAACGGATCACTCTGTATAGTTAAAAATAATTTTAAAGTAGGTATAGTTTTTTTTTTCAAGAAATCATTTAATAAACCTACATATTCTGTAAGCTAAAGATTAGGTGACAGTTTTGCAGATAAATAAAAGGATAATTATAAGTAAAAAAAGTATTAAGTGAGTTAAAAATAATTTTTATAATCTAATGGAGAAATAATTCTAGCACTGAATAAGAAAATATACCAAAACGTTAGACAAAATATTGAGATGAGAAAAGGTAAATAAAAATAAAAAACAGACCGAGAGAGCAATAAAAACGCGATCAAACACAACCAAAGATTTTTGAAAATTTGTCTTTGATAGAATTTTTGTCTTGTCAGATTATCATCGATCTGAAAGTTTGCGACGATCAAAGACAAACTTTCAAAAATCCATAGCTGCCTTACAGAGGGAATAGATGAAAATTTAACCTTACTGAGGACAATTATTGTCGTATTAATTATTATCAGGCACAAACTAGGAACATTTATTTTCAAATAAATATTAGAAGACAAAAGTTTCCAGTCAATCTTTTCAAAGAATTTCAAAAAAACTAAATGAGGCTTTTTAATTTTTTCAAAATAAAAATATTAAATATATCGATTTATTTAACATTTTCGTGATTTTTTTGGTAGGAGTAGATATATTCATTTTTACAAGTACAATGTATAACCTAATTTTTGTGTTTTCGGAAAGAGTAGATTAGGCTTTTTTAAGATAATCCATAAAATCTATTACAATTTTAGGTCTTAAATCATGTTACTAAAGTTGAGTCAGTAAATTCCCCGACGCACACTACAATAAAAATTTATCAGTTTTTTTCTTATGTTATTATCAACATTCACTGAAAGAATCACTAAATCCAAGTTTATTAATAGGTGCTTGTAATCCCTGACTTAGTACCAGAATTTCATAAATGTTTGTTTTGTAGTTATTTTGTGTGAAAACTGTGAATATAAGACATATTTAAACTCCAAATACTCTGAAATTAACTTCTCTTTTTGCCTCATATATGAATCGTATTTCTAAGATTACAAATCTCTTTATCATACTTCGTCAAACTAAAGATTACAAAAAGGTCAAATTGTTAAAAAACCGCAAAATAAGGCACACGAAATGAAGAAAACTATTAAAACTCGCCGAAGCAAATTCCATCACATCATCATCGACACTACCTGAAGATCTTGTGGCACTTGGTGCTGGTGTCTCCGTTCGAAGGGCACATTTCGGCACTTAAGGGCACTTGAGTCACAATTGCAAACTAAACAAAATTTAAATGTACAAGGGTATATAAAGTTAAAGGGGCAGTCCTCATCCCCAGCAAGTGGGGGTACGAGGATCCGCAACAATAACTTGTAACCCCCGGCTTTGTTATTGAATGAAATGTATAGTTTGGACGACTTTCGACCGTATTGGGGTGGTATTGTTGCAGGGGCGACTCGATGGGATTTATGTTGAAAGGTAAGTGCTACCATTTTGCACGGTTGTCTCGTTAATCCGACCCATTTGTGGTGGGATTTCGTTGTAATTTCGTCGCAGGTAATCACGGATGACAACTCCATACACACCCTTTTCTTCGTAAATCTACTCGTTTTAATTTCATTCGGAACAGTCGAAGTGCTTACGGGTTTGTGACATTTTTTGATCGATTGGAAATAAATTTCGGTGGAATACGTTGACGGATTTTAGAATTGTGAACGTTTGAAGGGTTGCGCCGATTCATCACAATTAGTCGGGAGGTTTGTCAAAACAAGGAGGAACTGCCACGGGATGTGTCGGTAGGTGTTGGAAAGGTGGGGTTTTAAGGCGAAGATTAAGGGGGAAAACGTGATTCGGAAAATGTAAAGCGTTATAACAGGAAACCAAATGATATTAGAACAAAAATATGGTTTTATTTTGACTAGACTAGAAGATAATTTTAAATCCATTTACTGCAGACTTATTTAAAACGTACTACAATAATCCAACCACAACTGATTTTCGTTTTGTTTGGCACAGAAATATCCATTTCCGTTTGTAGTTTGATTCTTAATATTTTTCGATTTTCATAAAAGTAACTGTTAGCAATATTTTCAAATTTTATTCGACTTCGGTATTCCCACTTGCACTGAAAATGGAATCCTCGACACTTTCGGAAAGTGGTTTGCCGTCTTTATCGATTTATCCAGTAAACCTTCAGGCGTTACTTTTCGAACTTAAATAACTTTACAGAACTTCGAAACAAAACTTATAAAATATGAACATAATCGACACTTTCTTGTTCATTTTAAAGAGTTTTTTAGCTCAGATGAGGAAACGTAATAGGTCGCTTTAACGATATCTAATTCCACGTTTACTTGGGATTGAACTTTATATGTCCTTATCAAAATCCATCTGTTCATCCCGTCTAAAAAAATGTGACGTCATCTCAAATATTATATAACAGACTATATTTTTCAAAACTGTATGAATTAAAGTTGCAATATTATTTTAAAATTCTAAAAAAATTGGTCGAAAGTTATTTCCAACTTCCTTTGCCCTTGAAGTAGGTATAATCCAACTAACCCAGCTTCTTTCAAAAATTATACAAAATTTTTGCGATTTTTGTTTTTTGGTAACCTCTATAAAGTCACAATCAGTGACGTAAATAACACTCCCGCGAGTTTCAGTTCTTCGTTTCTTCAATTTTTCCATTTGAAATTTTTCAATTTTTTGTTTCTTCTTGGAGTTTTCATTATTAAATTATTCAGTTTTTCAATTTTTCATTTATTCAATTTTTCGATTTTTTTTTTCATTTTTTCAATTTTTTATTTCTTCAATTTTTCGATTAGCAATTTTTCATTTCGGTATTTATTTTCTTAATTTTTTCTATTTTTCAGTTTTTCAATGCCCTGATTTTGTAATTTTTCTGTTTTTACTGTGAGATTTTTCAGTTTTTGGATTTTTCAAGTTTTCAATTCTCCAACTTATAAATTTTTGTTTTATTGTGTTTTCAGATTCTCGATTTTTCAATTTATCATTTCTTCAATTTTTCGATCTGAAGTTTTTCAGTTTTTGAGTTCCTCTGTTGCTTCAATTTTACGATATGTAACTTTTCGTTTCGGTTTTATTTTCTTCATTTTTTCAATTTTTCGGTTTTTTAATGTCCTTTTTTTATGATTTTCCTTTTATCAATGGGAAATTTTTCAATTTTTCGATTAAACTTTTAGATTTTTTAGGTTATTGTTTTTTCAGATTCTCGATTTTTCAATTTTTGTTTCTTAAGTTTTTCGATTTGAAATTTTTCAATTGTTCAGTTCTTTTGTTTCTTTAATTTTACGATATGTAACTCTCCGAATTTTCATTTTTAAATTCTTCATTTTTTCAATATGCAATTTTTCGTTTCGGCTTTTATTTTCATAATTTTTTCAATTTTTCGGTTTTACAATGTTCTTTTGTTATAATTTTTCTTTTTACAATGTGAAATTTTTCAATTTTTGGATTTTTCAATTTTTCGTTTCTTCAATTTTTCAGTTCTCTTGTTTCTTCAATTTTACGATGTGCAATTGTTCGAGTTTTTATTTTTAAATTCTTCAATTTTTCTATTTTCAGTTTTTCATTTTTCAATTATCGTTTCGATTTTTATATTCTTATTTTTTCAATTTTTCGGCTTTTCGATGTCCTTATTATATAATTCTTCTTTTTTCAGTGGGAAGTTCTAATGTTTCAATTGTTCGATTCTGCAACTTTTAGATTTTTTAATTGATCGGTTTTTCAGATTCTCGATTTTTCAACTTTTCGGTTTAAAATTTTTCAACTTTTCAGTTCTTTTGTGTATTCAATTTAACGATGTGTTTTCATTTTTAAATTCTTCGTTTTTAATTTTCCATTTCCTCAATTTTTCGATTTACAGCTTTTCGTTTCGGTTTATGTTTCCTTATTTTTTTCAATTTTGCGGTTTTTCAAAGTTCCGATTTTTCTTCAATTTTTCAATTTAAAATTTTTCAATTTTTCAGTTCTTTTGTTTCTTCAATTTTACGTATATATATGTAACGCTTCGTGTTTTTCATTTTGAAATTCTCCATTTCTTCAATTTTTCATTTCTTCAATTTTTCGTTTTGCAATTTTTCGTTTCTGTTTTACTTTCTTCATCTTTTCGAATGTTCGATTCTTCAACTTCGGGATTTTTTAATTTTTCGTTTCTTCAATTTTTCGATTTGAAATTTTCGTTTCGGTTTCGGTTTTTGTTTCTCCATTTTTTTCAGTTTCTCAGTTTTTCAAGGTCCTGATTTTAATCTTTTTGTTTCAATGTGAAATTTTTCAATTTTTGATTTTTCAGTTTTTCGATTCTTCAACTTTTAGATTTTTTAATTTATCGTTTCTTCAATTTTTCGATTTGAATTTTTTCAGTTTTTCAGTTCTTTTGTTTCTTCAATTTTACGAGGTGTAACCCTTCGAGTTTTCATTTTTAAATTCTTCGTTTTTTCAATTTTTCATTTCCTCAATTTTTCGATTTACAATTTTTCGTTTCGGTTTATGTTTAGTTAATTTTTTCAATTTTTCGGTTTTTCAATGTTCCGATTTTATATATATTTTTTTTCATTGGGAAATTTTTCAATTTTCGTTTCTTCAATTTTTCGATTTGAAAATTTTCAATTTTTTAGTTCTTTCGTTTCTTCAAGTTTAAGATGTGTAACTCTTCGAGTTTCCATTTTTAATTTCCTCATTTTTTCAAATTTTCAATTATTTCTTCAATTTTTCGATTTGCAATTTTTCGTTTCGGTTTCACTTTCTTCATTTTTTCAATTTTTCTGTTTTTAATGTTCTTTTTTTTATAATTTTCCTTTTGTCAATGTGAAATTTTTCAATTTTTCGATTAAACTTTTAGATTTTTTAGTTTATTATTTCATCGGATCCTCGATTTTTCAATTTTGTTTCTTCAGTTTTTCGATTTGAAATTTTTCAATTGTCATTTCTTTTGTTTCTTTAATTTTACGATATGTAACTCTTCGAATTTTCATTTTTAAATTCTTCATTTTTTCAATTTTTCGGTTTTTCAATGTTCTTTTGTTATAATTTTTCTTTTTACGATGTGAAATTTTTCAATTTCTGGATTTTTCAGTTCTCTCGTTTCTTCAATTTTACGATGTACAACTTGGAGTTTTCATTTTTAAATTCTTCAATTTTTCTATTTTCAGTTTTTCATTTTTCAATTATTGTTTCGATTTTTATATTCTTATTTTTTCAATTTTTCGGTTTTCCGATGTCCTTATTTTATAATTCTTCTTTTTTCAATTGGAAGTTCTAATGTTTCAATTGTTCGATTCTGCAACTTTTAGATTTTTTAATTGATCGGTTTTCCAGATTCTCGATTTAAAATTTTTCAATTTTTCAGTTCTTTTGTGTATTCAATTTTACGATGTGTTTTCATTTTTAAATTCTTCGTTTTTTAAATTTTTCATTTCCTCAATTTTTCGATTTACAATTTTTCGCTTCGGTTTATACTTCCTTAATGTTTTCAATTTTGCGGTTTTTCAATGTTCCGATTTCAAATTTTTCTATTTTCAATGTGAAATTTTTCAAATTTCGGATTTTTCGATTTTTCGTTTCTTCAACTTTTAGATTTTTTAATTTATCGTTTGTTCCGATTCACGATTTTTCAATTTTTCGATTCTTCAACTTCGGAATTTTTTAATTTTTCGTTTCTTCAATTTTTCTATTTAAAATTTTAGTTTCGGTTTTTGTTTTTTTATTTTTTCAGTTTCTCAAGTTTTCAAAGTCCTGATTTTATATCTTTCTTTTTTCAATGTGAAATTTTCCAATTTTTGGCTTTTTCAATTTTTCATTCTTCAATTTTTAGATTTTTTAATTTATCGTTTCTTCAATTTTTCGATGTGTAACCCCTCGAGTTTTCATTTTTAAATTCTCCATTTTTTCAATTTTTTATTTCTTCAATTTTTCGTTTCTGTTTTACTTTCATGTTTTCGATTTTTTGATTCTTCAGCTTCTGGAATTTTTAACTTATCGTTTGTTCAAGTTTTCGATTTGAAATTTTTCAGTTTTCAGTTCTTTTGTTTCATCAATTTTACGATGTGTAAATCTTCAAGTTTTCATTTTTCAATTCGTCATTTTTTCAATTTTTCATTTCTTTAATTTTTCGATTTGCAATTTTCGTTTCGGTTTTTGCTTCTTCATTTTTTCAGTTCCTCAGTTTTGAATGTCCTAATTTTATATTTTTCTTTTTCAGTGTAAAATTATCAACTTTTGGATTTTTCAGTTGTTCGATTCTTCAACTTTTAGATTTTTTAATCAAGCGTTTCTTCAATTTTTCGATTTGGAATTTTTCAGTTTTCAGTTCCTGTGTTTCATCAATTTTACGATGTGTAAATCTTCAAGTTTTCATTTTTCAATTCGACATTTTTTCAATTTTTCATTTCTTCAATTTTTCGTTTCGGTTTTTATTTCTTCATTTTTTCAGTTCCTCAGTTTTTCAATGTCCTAATTTTATATTTTTCTTTTTTCAATGTGAAATTATCAATTTTTGGATTTTTAAATTGTTCAATTCTTCAACTTTCAGATTTTTTAATTTAGCGTTAGTTCAGAT